TTTTAAGTGTGGGCGCTGTCAGTAGCACCGTTATTATAAAAGATATTCAAAATAGTTATTTACAAAAATCAATGGCAAATATAGACTCCTTAGTTGTGAAATATGCCAATTTTTATAGAGTGGAAGAAGCATGCATTTTTTTAATGGAATGCAATATATGTTTTAGTATATTGTAAACGGCCATTTCAAAACAAAAAAATAGCTATAACATAGTATTGGCTCGCTACTTCTGGAACTACTGATACGTGATATTTTGGCTGCAAAAGACTCAGATTATACACCTAAATCAGCCACTTTTGTAGATAAAGTAGCAAACTTTTAACCAAAATCAGCTTTATATCGTGATTTCTCGTCATTTAATCGTTGTTTACATTTTTTTATAAACGCAGAATGTATTTTTTCTCAAGAAGTTAAAATGTAAAATTTCACGGTTTTGGTCCTTTTCTTAAGATTCACCTTGTTATAAACTTTTCAAAATTTGTAGGGTAATATTTCAATTATTTGCAGTTTCCCGGAAGTTATAATCACTTAAAATAAATACCACATGATGCATGGAAAAGGAGGGTTTTCAATGAATAGGTACAATCCTTCATTGAAATTACTTGCCATCCTCTAAAAATCCGCGGAATTACATTGCGGAATTACGTAGAAGTTATTTATTTTGAACTGTAATTTTTTATAAACTGCAAATATCTCAATAATGTCATGATGTAAGCCACAAACATGTTATCCGAAAATAAAGCTTATAAAAAGGAATACCCAAAAATGAAAAATATACAGGGTATTTTATTGGAATTGAAAGTGAATTTTGCGTTTATGTGTAGGTGATGCATATAATTCAAAAAACGTATAAATAATGAGAAACAATGGGATACGAGACTCATTTTAAAGAAAAGTTTGCTACTTTATCTGCAAACGTGACTAATTTACAAGCTGTGGCCCATGTTAGATAGCATTTATTGCTTGACGTAGAATACTTAGGATAAGAAAAAGCTGTAGAATCAGCACAAAAAAGGTACAACTTCACAGGCTAGTTTTTGGATGGTGTGCGGAAATGCATAAAATAATCAATTTTCTTACACATTTTTTTCTGTTTTTGTCTGTTTTTAAGTATGTTTGACGGTTTGTATCAAAACAAGTTTTTCAATAATCGCTTAGTCAGCATGTCATCGTTCAAATCTCACCAAATTTATCATTCTGTGACAATTACGTACTCGGTTATTACAATTTTCATACATGCACTACCGTAATCGTAACGTAAAAATAAAAATGGCTGCCATTTCAAGGGGGATGAGGCAGGAATTGTAGGTGGGTGGATTTGTCGCCAAAAATAGCTGAAAAATACCCCTTTTAAATATCGGTATGTCGTGACCAAACACACTGTGTATATATACAGGGTGCGCCATCTTTTATGTCGTATGTAAACATCAAATAACTTTGGAAACGAAAAACTGATTTCTATATATCCGGTATTTTTATTAAATATGGTCCTTTACACTTTATTGGGACTAGTTTTTGAACACAACATCTATCAAGTGACCACCTGTATTGGCCATAACAAAATGTGCCCGTTTTGCTGCGTTTTCCATTACTTTTTCGAGCATCTCTGGTGTTATAGCGGCGATTGCGGTACGAATGTTTGCCTTGAGTTCTTCAGTGATCTGGGGCTTTTTGGCGTACACTTGACTTCTCAAATAACCCCACAAGAAGAAGTTCGGTGGGGTCAAATCTGGAGACCTGGGTGGCCAGTCAATGTCACCTCTTTTTGACAGCAGACGTCCAGGAAATTTTCGTTGCAGAAACTGGATTGTTTCATTTGCAGTCTGGCATGGCGCACCGTCTTGTTGAAACCAGTAACCATCAAGACCTTTTTCACGCATTTGTGGGCAGAAGTAATGATCCAACGTCCACCGATATCGATTTCCATCGACTGTTTCGTTTTGGTTGAAGAAAAATGGCCCAATGATGGTTTTGGCGCAACGCCGGCCCAAACAGTCACTTTCCGGTCATGCAACGGCATTTCGTGGATCTCGTGTGGATTTTCCGGCAACCAAATGCGGCAGTTTTGCTTATTAACGCCGCCAGAGATCGTGAAATGGGCCTCGTCGGTCATCACAATTTGCTTGCAAAAATCAGGTTCAGCATCAACCATGCGAGCGACTGTTTGGGCATATTCCAAGCGACGTGGACGGTCAGTTGGCAATATTTTTTGTGTCAACTGCACCTTATAAGGAAACAAATGCAAATCATCCTTCAAAATGCGCCGCAACGTGGTTCCACTGATGCCAAAATGCTGAGCGCGGTGACGATACGACACTTTTGGGTTCTGGGCAACGCTGTCTCTGACCGCTTCAACCAATTCATTGGAACGTTTTGGTCGTTGATGAACGGTATGTTGACGATCTCCCACTGTCCTGTACTCTGAAAATTCGAAACCAAACAACGGATAGTGTTGTCAGACGGTGCCTGTTTGCCACGATATCTTCGACGATATGCACGTTGCGTTAACACAACTAAACGACGATTTTCAATGTAAATTGACTATTTCGGCGCGTTGTTTCGGTGTAAAGTGATTCATGACTGAATGACATCGAATTTTCACATCCGGAATATATTTGAATCCGCTCTAAAATATGAGCTTCCCAGATAAACTACTATTTATTCCAAAACTACCTGTACATGTTCTATCTTAATCTATATGTATCTTCTCACTGTATTTCTATGCAGCATTTGAATACAATTACTGTAACCATGTGGGTTTTAAGTTGCTTTAATTGCGGTTTTTCGTGAACATATAAGTATAATCTCTCCTGCTTTTGGTAGATGACACAAAGCTAAAAATGATATCTTACAACTATTAGCACTAATTATTCGGGTAAGTGGGTAGGTGTGATGAATATGTCGTTTAATATATTTTATTACGCTGTAATTTGTAATGTATGCGTTGTTGCACTTGTAGGTTGGAGAAAAATGGAGATGGCTTGATTTTGTTAGTCACGCTATATGGTTTATTGAATCTCCTCCGACTAACAATTCTTAGTTGTAAAAATGTTGAGAATCATTAAATGTGTCGCTATCTGTAAATTATTCAACATGCTTGTTTTAGGTGGAATTTTCCACATTTTATTGAAGAAAAGTTTTGATGGAAAATCTATATATGGGGCACATAGGTCGGTGGAGGGCGGTCGATAGACCAAAAAATCATGACTATCTCGAAATCGTAAATAATAATTCCATTTCCAATTAGACAGCGTTTCCAGAGATACAGTTGAGTTTTATTTTTAAGAGTTTTTTCAGAATTTCTGAGAGGCGGGTTACAAATAATATTGGAAGGAATGACATTTACGCCTAAAAAGCCGGTAATAAGCTTTTCGCGCTTATTTGAGGGAATTTACACCGTTTTATATTTTGGACTTGTAATGCTAAAGGAGCCCCAAGAGCGCCGTTTATGCCTTAAAAAGCTTGAAAATAACATAAGCGTGCTTTCTCGCAGAAACCACGTGAAATTTTACTATTGGAGGGAAAACCCGTGTATTATTTTTAAAGAGTTAAAAATAAACATGTATCTCGCTAGGAAAATCGCCAAAGACCTATTTTCCTGTTCTTCAGAGGTAAAGGAACATTTCTTTACATATATTTTGTGACTCATCACAAAATAAACATTTATCTGTCCATACGATTCAAATTGACCATTAAAACTTCAAAAACAGGTTTTATATACTTGAGGCTACCATCTACAAGTTTGAAAAAATTATACTCATAATTTGTCACGCACATCGATATCTAAGCGTTAAAAAAATGATACAGTGCTTTTGGTTCTTTGTTGGAAGTTTTTGGCGCTAAAACGCTACCTTTAAAGCCCCAACAAATAGTGCTGTCAAACTATTAAAACCGAAGGTTAGTACCATTCATTCCCAAAGCAAATTTGAAATATGTGAATTTTGGTAAGATCAAATAGATAGTTAGTTCACCTAAAACTTGATGGAAGGCTGATCTTTGCCACACTAAGCTATGCATCCCAGCTTCTAGGAGTTCAAATTATAGAAGACCTCACTTTTGTCTTAGCGCAAAGTAAATATTGGGAAGAGACTATTTAGATCGAAATAGTACTTTTCAGAATCTAACTGTGTCACTGCATATAAGACAAAGATAAGTCTCAATATGTAACATTGTCCATATGCTTTGGGAGATACTCCAAACTATACTACCCGCACTCGATCATATTTAGAGGAAGAACATCTGTCACTTCATTAATAGACTGTCTGAAGCCGGAGTTCGCAGAGTATTGAGGTTAGGAAAAATGTGAATTCAAAATTAACAATTAATTCTCTTTTGATACTAATGTAAATCGTGTGATCTCACGTATAGGTCATTAAAAGATAATTAGCTAAGAGTCAACTTACAGGTTTTAGGGATAACTTTGGTTTCCATAAAGTTATACATCACGCTTAGGAAGGATCTAGCTTATTAGCTTTTATTGAGAGAGAATAAAATTACACGATTTAGTTTGATATCAGAATACTATGAACCCCGCCTTAAGCCATTTTAAGGTCGATGGTCGGTGCTTGATCTGACCCTTTTTACCGCTTGGTCGTCGAATTTTGTGTATTTTGAACATATGCGATCGAATAGTGAAATTTGTTGTACAAGTTTTACAATAAAACACTGAAAGAGAGTTTTATTGTGAAACGTGTACAATAAATTGTACTATTCAATCGCACGATGAAAGACTTTCACCAAGTAAGGGCACCTACAATAATCAATATTTTGAACTTTTTACATTACAGCTCTAAGAATCTGGATTAGACTGTATGACCATTCATGTAACTAGGATGTCGAAATATGGTCTCCATTTTGACTGATCTTAGCAAATACAAAACCCATGGCTTCTACAAGTTTAAAAGAATTCAAAAAATACGATTTAAACATGAAGTAACATTTCGTAGATTAGTTTTTTAAATATTAGCTCATGTATTTACTTGTTTTTTTTTTGCCGGCAGGTACGAAGAAAATGGAATACAAGACCAGACAGTGGCACGAGAAATGCTTCTGCTGCTGCGTGTGCAAAATACCAATTGGTACACAGAGCTTTATCCCTCGTGAACAAGAAATCTACTGCGCCAAGTGCTACGAAGAGAAATTCGCTACTAGGTGTATCAAGTGTAACAAGGTATAAGATTCTATTTTTTAAGGTGGTTCAAATACAAATATACATTAGTTCCTTTAAAATCAAACTAAACTAAAAGCACGTCTTCCTTTATTTTGATTTTTGGATATTTTACAACGTTTCGGTAACAGTGGTGGGCAGGTAATGGATTCCATTACTCTACAGATATTCTAACATTACGATTACTTCATTGAATAGGCAATTTGTTCTTACAAAAAGTACAACAGGCATTATCGTCTGAATTCTGCTTTGTAATGATAAGTTCAAATTGCCATCCTCATAGAGCCGGGGCTTGATCGCCATTTGGATACACGCATTTTGTCAATTAGCATTATCATAAAAAACTGATAGAATTATATTTGTACATAATTGTTCCCACCAAATTTTACCTTACGGTCAGCAGTTTGCGAGAAATTTAACGTCAAAGCTATAAGGACTTACCTTTTTGCTTATGATTGTTAAACTGATAACTCAAAATTATAGTTGCGCTGATCATCACTATTTATAGAGAATAGAATTTGCTACAAAAAAAATATCTCTGGCATGTTTTCCAAGTATAAGGAGTGAAAGTTGAAAATTCACATCAAAATGTTCGTGCGGCATGCTCCGCACGCTATATACGCTGTCTACTTGTCACCTTAAAACATTATTTCACTTGAGGACAAGTCCGTGATTATTATTTATGGTCAGAAACACCATTCTATAGTGAATCAATTTTTTTTACTGACAAGCTTACGTTTGCAAAATGTAATATTTTTTAACGATCATAACAATTCGTGACGCTCATTTCCATTAGTATGTCTATTGGCCATTTTACTACTGCGTGACCTCAGCAATCGTTGCAACGATTTTGATGGAACGAGGGTGATTTCATAAACAATCATTAGCTAGATATAGATAGATAGATAATGCTACTGCAGTTTTGTAAATGAAAGTCTATACTTCCTCTAGTAGAAGAATTGTAGCACTCATTGTTCAATACAATAAAATTTTCTAAGTCATATGGTAGAAGATGATTTTTTAACTTGAATATGAAAATGAAAACCAACTAAGCTATGAAATTTTTGATATTTAACCATTGTAGTTCTTTCAGCATAAAATAGTATATTTATTTTTATTTAAGATGGTTCTCATAGCTTTATTTTGTAATATTTGTAATTTTGAAAATACAGTTTCATTTGCAGTGAACAAAAGAGTCGAACAATATAACAAATGAGGAAGAATGATAGTGTTGTACACATTTTTTTTTTTGAATAAACTCTATAAACGCTATGCGAAATTCTATGAAAGTAGTTTATTTTCTTGGATATTTTTGAAATAATATATTCATAGTGCCCTTCAAATTTTAATTTACTGTCTACGTATATGCCCAAATATTTAAATGATTCGATTGACACAATTTTTTCATGATTAATTGTAACATTTATCGTATTTTGATTTAAAGATTTTTCTATTAGCATATATTTTGTTTTGTCTGTGTTTAGTTTAAGTTTATTTACATTTAACCAATTTATTACGTTTTTCATATAATTATTTAACAGCTTTATCGCAGTTTCAATGCCTTTATTTGATATATATATATATCAGCAAATAGTTGAATTTTGCAGTGTTGTAAAATATCAGGAATATCGTTAATATATAAAATAAATAGTAATGGACCTAATTTGCTACCCTGTGGCAACACCTACCGAAATGTTTTTAATGTTTGATAATGTATTGCCAATTTTTATTCTTTGACTTCTATTGATTAAATAATTTTGTAATAAGTTGAATACTGAACCTCAGAATCCATAGCAATGCAATTTCGATAATAGTGTTTTTCACAAACACTCTCAAAACTTTATTGCCACAATGCTTTCTTGTATAAATCTGATGCCCCATCCGGGCATCCAAGAATCGTGAAAATGACTATTCACTACTGCGCTGTGTATCTGCAAAAAATGTCAATCACCTTCAGTCCAAAATTGTGTATTCGATGAATTCTCGGCTTGGTGTCACAGAAATCGGTTAATCTTAAATTGTAATTGTTATCAGTTTTAACATCCAACGTACAATTGACTTAGACTTGAATACATACCATATTTTGATTGTAAACTATTTCATGAACATATAGATCAGGTATGTAAAAATTTAAGTAAAAGATATTTTGCCATTTTACAACTTAAAGATGTCCTAAATGAAAAAGCACTTATCAATGTATATTATGAGCTGGCTTATAGCCACATGTCCTATAACATTATGATATGGGGGAAATCTTCCGCAATTTATTAGAGTACATATTTGTTGCCCAAAAAAGAATCATCAGATTAATTTTCGGAATGAAGCCACTTGACTCTTGCAGAGAAATTTTTAAATCACGAGAAATTCTTACATTACACTATATTTACATTTTGAAATGTGTAACTTACGTTAAGAAGTTTAATAACCTCTTCCCAAATATTATTGCTCATCATAATTATACTAGAAATCAAAATTTAAAGATCATCCATACACATACCACGACACATTTCAAAAAATCACCGTACTATAACTGCATCAAATTATACAATAAGCTGAAATACAGCAAATTAGTAGTTAAAAAATTATTAGTATCAAATACATTTTATAACATAAGTGAGTATATGGAATGTACAACCTTGAGTATGTAAAGATGGAATTGAACATTTATGTGAATTGTTATGTTTATATTGATTTTTACTTATATTTTTATACATTTCATTTATATTATATAGCTAATTTATTTATTTATTTTTTTAACCACATGTATCTAACTGGTAAATAAAGATAAAGATACAGTTGAATGAAATCATCTTATTCTCAGGATTTGTCTCTGCGATCAAGCTTCTTATCTTTCATTACTTTTGTCAAAGGTGATCACCAGCGGAGGTGTAACGTACAAGAACGAGCCTTGGCACAGGGAATGCTTCACCTGTACGCACTGCGAGAAGAGCCTTGCTGGAGAGAGGTTCACCAGCCGCGACGAGAAACCTTACTGTGCCGAGTGCTTCGGCGAACTGTTCGCGAAGAGGTGTTATGCTTGCAACAAACCTATCACAGGTAAGCGATATACTACAACACGAAGAAAGTAAGAACGTTCATGTATTTGAGATCATTCTATACCCCATTCGTAGTCCATTTACGCACATTCAAAGCACAACAGGCCCAAAAGCGAGATTGTTCAGGTCCGTATTTTCCTCAACGGTCTTGGAATAATCTAACAAAATAATTGATGATTTTTATAGAAATAAGTGCACATACTTTTCGTAATTCTTTATTCACTGGAAGTACTTGAATCATCGTCCGAATGGTTAATATTAATTATTACAGGTTCAATTTGGATATCGATCATATTGTCCAGATCCCACATATTTGTTTCGATTGTCTCTTGAACGTGACGGATGCAATCTTTCCCATGGTTTTCCGTCACTCTGTTGACAGCTTCATGAAACAAATTTTTCAAATCATAAAATTTGAATGTTCTATTGTTTGAAGCCACATAGTTTTTTATATTTGCCCAAATCATTTCAATAGGATTTAATTCGCAGTGATAAGGGGGTAGCCTTAAAACTGTCTTATTGGTTTTTGGCCATTTCGTCAATATCATTAAGATTATATTTATATTTGTGCTGCCTGACTAGATGGATAAGTTCTGCTTTGGCCATATTTTCATTGAAACTAATGTCTTTTGAAGGAGCCAGTGTTGAAGTTCTTCCTTTCTTATTGACATTGTGAGCATTTTTTCCAGTTTTGTCGTCAAGTTTTGGGAGCGTTTCCTCATACCATCGTTCAAATGAACTCCTGTCCATTTCTTCATTGTAGCCGGTCGTTTTCTTTGACTCAAATGCCCATATTGCAGTGGGCACAGTCATCTTCACTGATAAAGTGACAGATAACAAATCATTTTCCTTTTCCTGGAAATAATTATTTCACGTGGTATTCAAGAAAACTAATAATAATATATACAAGCAGAGTATCTAACAGGTGTTGGTTCCAAATCTACCACATATAGCTGAGTGTAGTGTAGCTAAGTTTCAGAATAGGCTCATAGATTCAGTGTACTTGACGCCATTTTTACAACACAAGTGACGAATTGGTTAGATACACGTACCTAACGGATTCTTTAGGCCAGTGGTTAGTCCATCTAAGAAGGCTTGTCTTGCTGATTTAATTGTAGAGTCGGCCCGTACTTTAGGTTTTGTATGTCCTGCATTTATCCAGGGTTCATCCAAGTAATAAATCTTCTGCCCTGGTCGCGGTATTTCTTTATTGATTTTAAATAATTTTTTCTCCATAAAATAATATCTTGGCTGTCCATCAAAATACTATTTCTGCCCCGTTTTCCATACTCAAAATGAAGTTCTTTTAGTAAACTATAGAATGTGTTCCTTTTGGAAGTAGGTAAGTCTTCATCACTACTAACCTCCTGTAATACTTTGCCTATGGGGGGAACTTCCCGCCATTCAAAAAATTGTTGGTCTTTGCGTCTGATCAAAGATATCAACAACCGTATTCAACAGCCTCGTGTAATGCAGCCTCTTGTGTGGTGGAGACAATTTTTTTTACATATATTCTTTAACAACGTTGAAAATTGCCTTAGGATATGTCTGTTTTGTTCACCATACGTCTTTTAATATGGAGGCAAATACACCAACCTTTTGCTGCTCGTCAAACTATTTTGGAAGCACGTACATTTTCACGAAAAGTTGCCTCTAGCCTCTCTGAGAAAAATTATTGCTTGAGACCATGCCATAATTGCTGTGATGCCGAGGCTTTTGAAGTTGATAGCAACTGCCATTCTGGTTACATAACTGTCCAGCGGAACTTTGAGTGGATTCTTTATAACAAGTACCAGAACTCTGAATATAGTGTCTTAATTTTTTTAAACTCTAGGTATTGGCGGCACCAAGTTCATCTCGTTCGAAGACCGTCATTGGCACAACGATTGCTTCTTCTGTGCATCATGTCGCACAAGTCTGGTGGGACGCGGTTTCATCACCGATCAAGATGACATCATCTGCCCCGAATGCGCCAAACAGAAGCTCAGCTAGATCAACAGTACATGATCAACCAAACGCAAGTTGCTCTTCTTTGAATCCATCCTTCCAATATATTTTGTTTCCATTTAGTGTTATACAATGTATTCACATCATTGTTGTTGAAATAATCAAAGAATTACTAAATGTATAGTAACTATGCAAGATTTCAACTGCACTGAACATTCACTCAAATCACCTAGAGTATACCTAAATTTAGTAATAATATAGGTGTTACACTAGCTTATAGTGTATCCGTAATGTTGTAGTGTCAAATACTAAAAAGATAACTATTTTATGTTTGAATACTATGTCTATAGTCTTTGGGGATTTCCACCCATGACAGATTGTTTTGGAAAGACTGATTCTCTGAGCAACTTGCTGGTAAAATGACACGCAATTTTTAGACATTTTATCGATTCTGAAATGCAAATTATTTTTTAAAAATTTACACTGACACTTACACACGCACATTTTACACTCAGTATAAGAAAAACAGAAAACAAAAAAAATAGAGTGAAAAGGAAAGTGAAATGAGGAAGAGTTTTTTGATTTTTTTGTACGTCATATGATTTAATATTCTCACCTGTGGCTCAAATGCAGATATAATGTGCTCATATCGTGCCATTTTTTTTTGTATGATGAGTAATATGGAAGTTAGATACCTTTTCTGTATGTAGGTGTGTCTTTGAAGGTTTTGAATTGTCCAGCGCATTTGAGCCGTAGATGATTATCAAAGATAAATATATACATATTCTAAATATCGGACATAAAGTTGCCTTAATAACCTATTATCATGCCTAATGCACATACTGTCCCACTTAATGCTTATTTCCTAATTGAGCACTTGTGAGGCCAATCACTTCGAGAAAATCAAATATGTGAAACATTGCCGAGTGTCACTGTCGTGCGACACAGATCGCATGAATTTAAACATTTTTGACAGTGGTTTGTGTTGAAAAGTGGGATACGTTATAAATATTTATTCTAGTATATATTGATTAAAGTACCAATCACAAATCGTGGAATTTGTCCACCGGACAAATTTAGTGAAAATTTGGTCAAATGTTCCAATCGGCGCAATGCTTAGAAATGCTTTCTATTTGAGATACAGGGTGTCAAACATTGGTGCCTTAGCCTATCTTTAACATCTTGTGCCTTAAATAGAAAGTATTTCTGGGCTTAGGGCCCATTTGAACATTTGATCAGCACTGTATGAACTATCACTAGACAATTTTTCATTAAATTTGACTGGTGGTGACATTCCATGGTTTGTGCATGGTATTTTATAATTTTTTTAACATACAGTAGCATTGTTGTAGATAATAAATGAAGCTTCATAGCATTTACGGAATATATACAGAGCGAAGATTTTGGTGCTAAAATTTGTAGTTCAGTTAAGCTTTGTCATATTTTTAGTTGTAAACGTGTAGAATATATATATATATATATATAATTGTTGCATAATACCATATTTTATGGAAGCTTGATTAGGTGAATTTGTTATTAATATTTATTATTTAGACGTTATAACATTTTATTGTAAATTTGAATATGATATATGAGTACTGTAACATTTTTGGACTGTTACAAATTGTTACGCTTCTCAAATGAACAATGGAGCTTTGCTTTTAGGGATACTGTTATATTTTATTCCTTAATATAAATTTTAAAAGCTTGTAATCAGACTTTTAATTACAGCGTAATGTAGGCTAAAATTCTGTTTTACATAGTTTTCAAGATAAAATCAGATAGGTGACGTCCCTCATTCTCCACACACTGAGTAAACCGATTGCTGACGTTTGTCAGGACTCTTGCCAGCATAGCAGGCGTTATACAGGGTGTCCGCAAAGTTGGGGTTTTCCTTTACACGACGTGTAGATCTTATACACCAATGTCTTAAGAGAACCGTGATATTGGACTCCCCAAGCTCTATCAAACCTGAACCAAACCGAGGCCGGTCCTATCCCTCGATCGCGTCCACAGCGCCAGCGTAGTTATACGACGTACGAGTACGATGTAAATATACGCGAGTATGCAACCTAACCTGCAGGTCAACAAACCATTACATTGGTAACCGATTGCTGTTCAAAAAAATAAAAAAATTGGCACACTCGTACTATACACCAATAGCGAACTAGTCGATATGCTGATAATTTACGGTGAGTGTCTTCAAAATGCGATTCTAAAAGCCTGCACCGTTGCTTGGCTACGTCGAGCACGCACATGTGTTTTTGAGTCCAACGGCATCAACTTCTAACAGTACTTATACAATACGTTCACCAAGAAAAAGTGACACCGACGTCATATGTTCGATCTCATTTTTGTTATTTTTATTACGAGTACATGTGCTCCTCGGATTTTACCACAGAGCCGTACTTGGAATTTCAATGCAACTGAACAGTAGGTACTTTTTCATTTATTTTTTTTTATTTGTTCGCTCACGTTTCACTACACATTTGCTTTGTTATATCAAGCGCAGTTGTGTTTGTAAAGGAAAACCCCAACTTTGCGGACATCCTGTATTGACAAGTTCTTCCTGGACGTTGGTCTTCAAATTTTGATCATTGGACGGTTCATATAAACATAAAATTAAAAAAAAAAACAGAAAAAGTCACAAAGGGCCAAATCGGGAGAGCTGGCCGATCACTCCAAATCGCTCCTAAAGTGAGATGCTCTAGAAAGTGTTCCCTCAAACATCGCTCTTGAAGTGCGTGACGTTGCGCCGTCGTGTTGAATGTCCCTTAAGTCCAACTCATCTAGCCGTGAAAAAAAACCTTCATGTTTACATACCAGTCCGAAGTCACTGGCACTGCGACCTCATTTTCCTCAAAGAACCAGGGTTACCAATAATCCTAGCTGAGGAAATTGCACACCACACTGTAAATTTTGGTGAATGCAAAGGCCTTTGGAGAAATTCTCGAGTACTGGTGTCAGCCCATTAGCTCATGTTTTGTTTGTTGACAGATCCACACAAGTGAAAATGGGCCTCATCACTAAAAAACAATAGCGGCCAGGGACGACTTCGAGACGCGTTCATCCGAGTATTGAAGTCACGTTCAGCAGTTTCTGCACAATAGAAGATCCTAATGAAGAATTCTTCCAACAGAATGATCGTAAAGAACAGACTCATGTTCGCGCGCAGAACGCCGCGGTGATCGCAACATTGAAACTCTCGCTGCCTTAATGTTTTCAGGTGATCTAATTGGCCGAGGGAGTCCAGTTCTTCATATTGTCACACTTATTGCTTGTCTGAACGTAGTGACTCACGTAACAATTGATTTTCAGTCCGGACACATTTGTGGCTAACGTCGCCAAGGAGTACAGGAATACAAAGAAAGACAAGTAGTCTTGCGGAAACTTAGATGAAAAACAAATGAACCCCGGTTATAAGTTTCGAACAGATATGTTTTGATGCCAAGGGGCACCAAACAGCATAACTAAATGGCACTGTTCTCGGCTAAAAGCATTTAGGCAACTCAACTCGATTGCGATGCTTTTGTGTTCTCACCAAAAGCAACCGCTCAGAAACTGGTCTTGAGTACGTGGAAAAATTGGCAGGTATGTACTCACTAGTAAGAACGCAGAATATAAATAGATTATCTTTATTCTCAAATACCTCAGCTGAAAAAAAATATGTATAAATAACGTATTTCACAAATAACATCTAGCGAGATCAATTAGTCGACAGTATTATTCTTTTATTAATGTACAATGAACGATCTGCTGGGTTTCTGTGTTATTGCAATGGCAAACAATTTCGAATCAGAGAAATTATATTTTCTTTTGGACAACTATTACTTTTATGTCAGGATTGTAGAGGTCGTGCTTGAATTAGATATTGTTTTTTCTGAAGCTACAAGTAATTCGTCTAACTGAATAAGTATCACCAAATATGTTGTTACGCCTCCAAAAATCTGAAAGAAAGAAATTTTATATTTATGCTACTCATACTCTTAGGGGCGTATCGTCAGTCATTCTTACAATATTGCAGGACGCCTTTATGGCCTCCTTGATTTTCATAGTTTTCTACAGTTCCGTGTTAGTGCTCTATTTTGAGGTTATGTTAAAAATATCTATTTGCATCAAATTGTTCATGATTTTGATTTATATCATCTGTTATATCAGCCTGAAGAAAACATAGCCACACAATAGGAGAGCGCTGACGCTGACACGGAACAGTAGAAATCTAGAAATATGCCAGCCTTTCTGAAGGAGATGAAAGACAATGAAAATCGAGGAGGCCATAAAGGCGTCCTACAATTTATTGTAGGAACGACTGACGATACGGCCCTTAAGTACATTGTTCTTTTTAATCAATATACTTACTGAAAATATCAACGAATAGTCCAGATCGAAAAATCCCAGCGTTGAGATGTAAACTTTTCTATGCAAATGCTGTAAGGAATACATCTGAATCTGTAATTAACACAAGGTAGAGATAGATAGATACAATATTAGATGATATTACTATAGATTTTTAACGGCGAATATTAATTTTTTAAGGTGGGTGGACCATGGAAGACCATACTTCTTGTAGGGTCGATTATTAAAAGGCGTAATTATGACCACGAGATGGCAAATTCCTTCTACTCACACTGACACCCACCGAGCTCGAAAACATAGAAGCGGTGGCGAATCACTCGAGTCGTTCTTTTGTTAAAGTGTTCCCTCGCTTGTTGATTCCGACGTCAAAATTATAATCTGAGCTCGCAGCAAAACATCAGTTTTTGAGTAAGTGAACTATTGTTTTCTTTGATTTTCTTAGGTAGATCAAAAAATTGACAATAATAACATTAATAATAATAATAATAATAATAATAATAATAATAATAATAGCCTTTATTTAACCCTGCTTTTCGTACCAATCAGAGCCAAGCAAAATTACAATACAAAGTTTACTCATTTGGAAAAAATATAAACAATGAGAATATAAACCTATTGAGAGTAACTCATAACTAACACCAAGATGCTAAAATTTGCATGTGGAGACTGAGAACAAGTTAGTATACAGTGGTGTGAAAAAAAATTTAATATTTTGTTCTCAGAATATTGTGGATTCCTAGCGTTATCTAGAATATTTTTGCATAACAACCTTTTTATGTATTTTAATATAAGCATCAGATATTTTGATCACAATCTTAGCTTCGAGCCTTGTTTCTTGGAAAGCAGTTAGAAAGCGTTTAACTTATATTCAATAAATAATGATCAACTGTGCAATAATCAAAAAGGCTGTTACATAATACAACTAAGTGTTACTTGATAATACTTTTTTTTCCATCCAGTATATAAAGGAATAATAACTGTTATTTGTTATAGTGGCGTTCCATGGCCCACCCAACTAAATCAAAAAATGAAAGAAAGATCCGCCAATCGTTTTCTCTCGGTGTAAAAATAATACAAACATTCCACTTCTTACATGTCCGTCTAGTTCAGCATCATAATACGGCACTTTATTTCTGAGCTGATGTAGTAGAACTGGGGCTTTGTTAGCCTGAAAGTGAATAGTATGTATATATCACCTACGTATTTCATTGAAAAAAAAGAAAAAATGAAATTTGAATGTTGTACTTTTTCTCATACTCACAATACTGCAAAATTTCACGCAGTTCGTCACGAAAGATTGTAAATCATATACGAGCGCAATGAACCAAATTAAAATATGACCATGCTCGGCCCTCAAAAGTTCTTCTGAATGGAATATATGTAGGTACACTCTAAAGCACAAGATCACCAATTGAATCGAAACTGACATCAAAGTGACCAAATTAAAAAAACTTGTGGATGAATTCAACTCGTTGGTGAGGCGACACAGCTTACAATGCATTCTGTTTAGATGATACAGGTTTTGTACCAATATTTTCATGCTTTCATTATCTGGAATATAATGAAGAGATTACGACTAAAGCCAAAAGCATGGGAGAAAGATCTCTCGGATTTTCCATTTTCAAGATTGGTTTCTCCTTGGCAGCCTATTTAGATACTTAAACCTTATATAGGGTGGCGCAAAATTGACATTATGGTTCAAATGCCTTAGAACGGCTTTTATTTATAAAAATGAATTTATTTTAAAAATACGAGTATTCCATAGGTACTAATGGGAAATTTGACATATGAATCTCTTAAATATCGGCTATATTCTGCCTTCCATACTCGTACTCTATAACTTTCCACAAGAGAAATGGCATTATTAGGAATAATTCGAATACACACTGCGTATTATCTTACTCATATATAACATGCTTATCTTCAAATATCCCCAAAGGAAGAATCCAGGAGCGGTTAAATTCATACTTTTGAAGGATTTTGATTGAGCTACCATGACACGTCACTAGAAATTTTTAGAACAAACGCTGTTGTTACTTGAACATAAGGATCGTTGGACACGTTTTTTATATGCCGAAGCAGCTGCGTAGATAGAAGCCCAAATACCGGGGCACCGCGGCTGCTATAAGGATCTTAAAGTCACATTGTTAATCCGATTTTTTAACTACATAAGGTTAGTACATAGAACATGCGAAAGCCCCCTCAAGCAGATTGTTTCACAATCTTGACATCCTAGTGGCAAAGGAGCGGCGTCGGCGGAATGTACGATGCTCGACACGGTAAGTATGGAAGACCTAAGTCAGGCGGGTCTGTCTGGCAGGGTCATATTGCGAGGCAGCACCATGAAGGATAGCTTT